ATCCCACCTTGGACATACAAGATGAACAGACCAAAAAACAAGGTAAGAACATGGACTGGGTGTGTTTAGCAGGCATGGAAAAGGGCTAGCAGCTCATCTTCTGCATTTGGAGAGTTTGTATTGTCAGCAAGGTAGCTAACTGGACCTCAGTGTCACCACAGTGCTTGCTACCCCTGGAAGCCTAGCTGCTGCTGTTTTTGTTGCTGAGGCTCTTTCCCAGGCCCGCAGGGATACTCAGAATTGGAACGGTAGCTCTATGAGCAATCAGACTACAGAGGTGAAGCAAAATTTGATCAAAAATTCAGACTGGAGAAGACAACAGTGAAACGTAAGAGACTTTAAAAACTATAACCTGCATGAGATATACATTAAAAAAAACACCCCAGAACACAACCAAACAAAAAAACCCACAACACTGCAAGGACAAGCAACCTCTCTGGAAGAGGGTGTTCTTCCATATTCCACACCAGGGAACTCACTGCGTCGACCTTCTAGGCAAGACAATCATGGAACAAGTAGTATGCGCAAATCCTTCTGAAGGACAACGTGCTTCCTAGCGTAACTGTCCCTGCAAGATCCTCAACACCTGGCCTCAACTACCATGTGTCCCTGTGCCTTTGGGCCAGAATGGGCAGGCAGGCAACGGAAAGATGCTATAGCACCAGTTACAAAGTTCAATGCAGTTTTCAATGCATTAAGCCAAAGGATTGTCACCAAACTTGCCTTCCACGCAAGTTTTGCAGAGGGTAAAGCTACACTCCAGCTGCTTCTGTCCTCATGATTCCTTTTGCTCTCACTCCTTGCCTGAACTGTAGATCTTCTGAACTGTAGCACGTGTGAGCTCCAAATCCTCCGGGTACCGAATTTCTAGCTCGGTATTTGCTAGGTAGTGAATGCCAGTAAACTCTGAAAAATAGCGGCCAATGTCAGGGTGAGGGATCTCCCGAGGCTCAGAGTTATATTCCAGGTTCTCTGTTAGGAAAGGAAAGAATCAGTTATCACCTCATGAAATGCCCTGCTACAAGGCAATAAATCCTGCACCTCTCTCAAGTCTTGTTTCTGTCTCTAGAAACGCCACCTCCTGATGCTTTAAAGAAAAATACAAACAACCGTAATCCAGGAAAATATGCACAGAGTATGTCAGTACGATTGCTCACAGAGTCTTATCTCCTAAGTGATGCTGACCCCATTTACTAGTGGCATGAAAACTATTTTGTGCCTGAGACCACACTGTCTGACATAAGGTTAGAGTAGCAGGATGCTGACCTGCTCCCACTCTGTTGGTCACAGGTCTTGGTTGTAAGCGCAGAGAGAAGCTGCTGCACTGAGCTCTGATCCCTCAAGTCCCATGGGAGATCAGTTTCTAGGAGAGATCCTTCTCAAATGCTCCAAGGTGAGGCCGACTGCACAAGGTTCTCCTGGCAGAGGAGGCAAGTGCTTTCTTGCTCTAAGTCACCAGTCTGTGTTTCAACCATGTCAAGTCGCCAGCCTGGTTTTCAAGCATGTCTCACACAGCACAGTTAACTTTTCTAAATCTAAACTTCCCAAAGCTAAGAGAAAGTACCCAAGAAGAGCATACTGATTCTTTCCCATGGCACCCCATTTCCTCCTTTGTACTAAAAGATAACCTGATTAAGCACAACAGTTAAACAACACAGAAGCACTGGCATTAAAATGCAAAGGTGACCCAATCTGAGGGTCCCTTTGCTCCTGTAGTATTTGTATAAAGCAGTGTGACTGGGAGGCAGCCCAGCAGTAAATCTCATGCGCAGGTGCCCTGCAGCAGTCCCCAAATGATGTAATTTTTTCCAGCACAGTGCCAGAC